AAGGATTATGGCATAGACCATCCCCCTTTGTGCGGTGACTGCTTACTTTCCCTGTCTCTAGTGATTGCACGAACTGAAACAAGAAAAACTAACGGAGACTTAGTCCCACAGCTCCCAGGCCACCTCCTCATGTTGTTCCCTAAAACTATCTGCCTCAAAGCCCAGCATGGGACCAGCAGAGGGTATAATAGTTATTTCGCTGGACTCCCATGAAATCGAGAGGTGTGTGTGTGTGTGTGTGTGTGTGTGTGTATGTGTATGTGCATACCCAAAATCCTGAGAGGAGGGTAGAGGAGAAGGGACTGCAGTATGGCCATCCCCCTGGGGGGTGATTTCTCACTTTCTATCTCTCTGTCTCTCTGGTGAGCACATGCACCCTGTAGGAAAAATCTCTGTCTTAAAACACAAACAGCAACAACATAACAATATGCCAGCCTCACAGACCTGCTTTCTACTCCCAGAACTTACAAGAGTCTTTTGTACTCCAGCTTCTCTGCACAGACTTCCCCTCTCTGAGGTGCCTTTCCCTGTTTGGCTGCCTGGAGTGTAGTTGTTGTTTTGTCTTTTAAGACTTGTTCAGGGAACCAGCAGTTAGCGTAATGGCTATGTCGCTGGACTCCCACGTAGTCGACCGCGGTTCACGTCCCGGACCCGGTGGCTTAAAACTCACACCAGGCGCGTGTGTGTGTGTGCCCAAGATCCTGAGAGGAGAATGGAGGAGAAGGGATTGCGGCGTGACCATCCCCCCTGGGGGGTGATTTCTCACTTTCTGTCTCTATGTCTCTCTCTGTCTGTCTGGCGAGCGCACGCGCCCTACAGTGAAAATCTCAAAAAAAAAAAAAGACTCGTTCAGACAATACTGCCTGGGTGAATGTGGTATCCCCATGCGCAGCTTGGCACCACTCAGCACCTACCGCTAAGGAGAGCCCCAGCCACCCTGAATTAGAATTGCTTACCTTTGAGTCTTCTATCAGATCTGAGCTCCCTGAGGTCACTGTGCACTTCTGTGCCCCATTCCTAGACGTTTTCAAGCTGGCCCAGAGGAGATGTTTGTGCTTGGCCGACATTTTGATTGACCTAACTTAAGAATACACTCGTAGTTCATAAATCTTGTCCAGATAGTGCTTAAATGTGAAACTTGACATCGTTTTCTTTTGGGGCATGCTGTATATGTTTCTGTTATACTAAGAACTAGTAGACATACCAGCCTGTGGTCTCTTTCATCTTATTCTTCCAGTTGAATTCAAGTTGTCGAGCAGAAAAGGCAACGTTAATTGATTTTTGACCGTATGTTGCGTTACCAAGCCCTGACGAGAGAAATGATGGTATTGCAGAGCTCCGAGGCAGAGGGAAATATGCCAAAGAGATTTATAGCTGCATTTATTTCTAAGGAGGTTCAGTGTCAAAGGTTAGATAACAGATATTTGTTGCCATGCTATAGTTACGGAGTGTTTCAAGTAGATTTTAAATTGAGGTAGTCCCCAGTTAGAACAGAGAAATGACAGTGAATGCTAAAGACCGAGCCTCAACACATACAAAAGCTTGCAATGCAGAGTTCCAGAAAGCTTAAAATTGCTAAATCATCCCATTATATCAATAATAAAACAAGAGACTATGAATTTGTCATACCATTTAATAAATTAATGAGATATCAAAAGTATTATAATTCTATACTTGCTGAGAAAGACAAAACCTTGTCAAGTCATGGAAGTTGTATGCCCACATTTTCAAGGCTGAATTAAACTCTTCAAGTTTTTGAAACAGAACACCAGTTTGTGATAAGAAAAATTACCTGCTAACACAACAACCTATTTCCTGACCTGGTAATAATAATTCCAGATTAACTGAGCTTTTTTTTCTTTTCGTTCTTTTTTTGACGTTTAATTGCACTTTAATAAATCCCGTTAGACTGATAACACTTCACAGACTTAAAATTTATAAACATTCAGATAAATTCAGGCAGTATAGATTCTGCTGATGCCAGGTTTATCGCATTTTCACAGAAGAGTGCTTTTAAACAGAGGTGTTGTGTGGATTGCATTTTCAAACCAGGTTTGCTTTATTTTATCCAAATTTGAACCTACTTCCTACAACCTGTTACAAGCAAATGTTTGTTATACTACATATAGCATATGCCTTTTTATATATAGTGCTTGAAATTCAGGTTTTAATAGCAGTCCTAGGAAAATTCACTTCTGAGTCTATAGTTTTCTATATGCTATTTTTCTCCCTGTAAGCAACTGTATAGAAATGAGTTTGAACACAAGACTATGACTCCTTTCAGCCAAGTTTACTAGTTTCGTTGGGGACCTAAACAAGGAAAATCATCCACTCTTTGAATAAATGTAACTCAGACCAACTTGAATTTCCAATGAGTTTTTATGTAGCTATGTAAGCTATTTATCACTAATTCAGAGACTACAGTTTAAACCGGTTGGACAAGGAGACCAGATACAAGTATTATTTGTATTCAGAATACCAGTACCAAAACAAAGATAAGAACAAACAGAGCCATGATCTGATCAAAGTCCCCAGATATCAACACAAGGAAAACAAGGACCAGACCACATCTTTAAGCAATCTTTTCTCCCTTCCATGACATGAACTCACCGTTTGCTCCTAGTATCTCCAATCAAAATGCACCAAAACAATCCCAGCCAAAAGTGTGAATTTATTTCTAAACAGCACAACCTAAAAGAATTTCTTTAAGTTAAAGTTGAACTTAAAACTATTTTCATCTCCCTCCCTTTAAACCAAACGGCATCGGCTTAGAATGGCGCTAAAGAGAATTTTTAATGGATGGAGATAAAATCTATCATTTTTACCCAGGGAAAATTCCTTCTCATTTATTCTCAGGCAGCCTCGTGTAAAAGAACTATTAAAGTGATGAGTGCAGTGTTTTGACAAGCACTTGGACTGCCAAAACTGGAAATCTCACTGGAATACAGTTCAATATTCACGGGCAGAAAAGAATGCCCTATTTAAAAACGAGGGCAGATGATGTTGATGATATGGGGAGAGGAAATAACTCCGTGAACAATGCATCCGAAATGAAAGACTGAGATGTTGGCGTGCATCTAAAATCAACAGGAGATGTAATTACTCTTTGAAAGTACTGTCGTCCTGTCTCACGGTGCTAAATGGGTATGTATGTGAGACAGAGTGGGGGATCAGGGTGTGTTCAGAATACGACGACACAAGTGGAGATGGAACGAAACAGACCCAGGAGCTGATGCAAGTCCCGTGTTACCCACCGAGGAAAGACACAGACCCGCCCACATGACTAAGCAAGATTTCCCTCCCATGACATGGCCCTACTGCTTACTCTCTTGGCTTCACTTCAGAGCTAGGTCTCTCTATCCGTTTTATAAGCACCATAGGAGGTTTAGAAGAAATCACAAAGAAACCTTTTATCCCAAGTCACCACTGATCTGAAACCCTACTCATGTTCTCTGCTGCTTGTGTTTCCTGTTTGAAATGCCTGAGTCCAGCCACATGAGGAGGGTTGCTCGTGTGGTTTCCCACTGTATTATAATATGGCTTAGGGGAAAATGGGCAGATGATCAGTGATAATATTTTAATAATATCTCACAACACAGGTTATTTAAAGGGGACCCACGGTAATGTAAAAGCATCTGCGGGGAATCAGGGATTATTCTTTTGTTTTTAAGGACTTTTGCTATAGGGTATGTGCACTCAACAGAGAGACAAAGCAAGAAAGTACCCCACGGGGGGACGGCCACACCACAATCCCTTCTCCATTCTCTTCTCGGGATCTTGGGCATGTACCCAGTGTGAGTTTTAAGCTACGAAGTGCAGGACTCGAACCGGCGTCGACTATGTGAGAGACAAATGATGTACCCATTACACCATCTGCTGCTCCCAGGACTTGTCTTATGTTACTCCATTTATGTGGACAGTTTACATAAGTCATCATTTCCTCTAAGCTATTCGTTTGAGTACCCATGGTATTTATTAGTAATTCTGGGTTTGTTCAGTGTTCAAACACATCTTTATTATTATTTTTTTTTCGAGAGGTTTTCACTATAGAGCACGTAAGCTCGACAGAGTGACAGAGACAGAGAGACAGAAAGCAAGAAATCACCCCCCTGGGGGGATGGCCATGCCGCAATCCCTTCTCCTCCATTCTCCTCTCGGGATCTTGGGCATGCATGCACACGTGTCCAGCGTGAGTTTAAGCCACCAGGTCTGGGACTCGAACTGTGCTCGACTACATGGGAGTCCAGCGACATGGCCATTACACCAACTGCTGGTTCCTCAAACTCATCTTTAAACCTGTGGTCTTTCATGGACAACCTTTTTCTGGCTTCTGTGAAATAAATGAAGGAAGCTTAATATTTCTCAAAGGTAGAGTTACAAGCTACAAGTCATCTCTAACACCCTATCAAGCCCAACCAATAAACCGTTGTCTTTTTTTTTTTTTTTTGTGGTGGTTGTTGCAAAGAAGGAATAAAAACAATCTTGGGTTTAAGCTGGTAGGACCAATCCCTGATTTCTCAGTGCATACTTTTTAGGGAGGATAAGGTACATTTCTTTGAATGTACTTAATAAAAAATAATCCAGAACATTCTTTTTTTTTTTTTAACCAGACTTGTAGAACTTAGGAAAGGACCTTCTCTGGCTCTAAGAGTTCCCCGTTGCTTTCCAAAACATACATTTTAAAAATAATCTCTCATCCTTTTTAGCTTTAAAGTGGAACATGCAGTGAAGTGACCAGTACCAATTCTCAGCAATTACTGACTAGTTCTTCAGAAGACACGACTATGCACACATCCACGAACGGCTTCCCCAGAGAACACACCCAGCCCAGCTCCAACGGCAGCAGCAGGCACTAAGCTTATCAAACAGATTATCTCGAAAAATGCATTTCTTCACATAGATTTTTACGTTATCATGCAAGGTTTCATAGAAACATTTATAACTCCCGGGGTAGACAAGAACGCACAAATAAATAAAATTAGATGGTTCTCTTACCTTTTGGAAAGCGGTCAAAAGCTATACTGTTGGTGGGATAGTGTACCAAGTAACAGACTTTTGTACGCTCTTTCTTACTGGTGGTACACAGTCTACAGGAAAAGTAAATATACAGTATGTATAACATACACGTACACACGACATTCCTTGGCATTACTACTCTTCCCATTCTGGAGAAGAGGCTGCGATAGAGACCGTGGACATTCTGCCCACTCGTTCAGTGGGTCCGAAAACCTGGGGGGAAACCAGTTCAGCAGAACTCAGGTACCTCTGAACAGCGGAGTTCCTTGCCTCGTGGTTAAGACATGTGGGTTTGGTTTGCTCAAGTGAGCTGAAACAGCGGAGGGGACCAGCCCCGGGTGACTGTGTCTGGCAGGCCAGAGCAGTATCTCCATGCGTGGCTCTCCCTTTTTTCCTCAGCCTAGGCTGGCCATGCTGACCGGCTTGCATGGTTAGTCCAGAGGATGGAACGAGTAACATGGTGTTGAGTGTGTCAGGGATCCAAACAGATGAAGAAGCAAAGCCAAATGAAACCAAACCATGACAAATGAACACAGCGCAGGAGTGTGTTCCAGAATTTTCTAGGCATTGTTACTTGTATAGGGTGTAGTGCCCACATCCATTTTCCAGCATTCTGAGTTGCTTTTTTTTTTCTTTAAAAAAAAAAAAAATCAAGTATCTCCTTGTATTGGCAGTTCTGATACTTTACATAGTAATTGCTCTCTTGAAGAATAACACTTTTATTTCTATAGTTTTTCTTATAGTCACAAAAAAAAGGGTAATAAAAGAAAAACAGCATCATACTACCAACTTCTATTGAGAATATTTTATATTGGGTCATCAGGAAAGTCATGATGCATTTCTGTGTAGAAGAATATAGAAAACCACACCGTGACTTTCCTGATGACCTACTATGTTAAGAGCAGATTGTCATTCTGCTAATGTGAGCTTCACCGTACAAACCATTCACTGGCTTAAACCAGTCCTTTTTTGAGAGACAGATTTTTGCTATGCGCTCGCCAGAGAGACAGAGAAGTAGAAAGCGCGAAGTCACCCACCAGAAGGGATGGCCACACTGCAGTCCCTCTCCTCTATTCTCTTGGGATTTTGAACATGCACACATGTGTACCTGGTGTGAGTTTTAAGTCGCCGGGTCTGGGACTTGAACCGCAATTGACTATGAGGGAGTCCAGCGACATAACCATTACACTATCTGCTGGTCCTGGCTTAAACCAGTCTTTTACATAGTCTATGCCCAGCCTCCATCTCAAATTCATAACCATTCATCTGTGTGTCCCTAGCTGTCCGCCTGCCTGCCACCTCTACCTACCTCTGACCTTCTTAACTCTCTGAAACTAACCCAGGTCCTTGAGGCAGTCTTCACGGTGCCTTGGGAGCACTAGCTTAGAAAATGGATGGATGGTAGCTTCGGACATGGCAGCTTAAGGCCTCTTAGCCCTACATACTACAGTATTGTACGAAGGAAAGCATGTGGCCAGAGGATAAATCATACGGCATCTTCTGCAACTTACCCACCCATCCCAACAAAGCCATGCTGCCTTTCAGTTCATGTCATCCATCCAGCTTCAGAAGGCTCACAGCGGCCACCAGTAAGCAATGGCGCAAGCACAACATGTCCTCTCGTTCATCTGTCCCTGCAGGCTTGCCACAAATATACATCTACCACGTCCACAGTAGAGCGTGTGGGGGAAACATGCCAGAATCAGGACACGGTGGGAGAACAGGAGTCGGAGCTGCCCTTCTTCTTTGCAAGGAATCTTGCGAAGGTACCATCTTGGCAAGATCTAAAGATACTCAGATGTGGTCAGGCTCCTCTGGACCTCTACAGAAAGCCATCTGATTTGTATAAATCAAAATTCAGGAAGTCGCAGAGACACACTTCTCTACCTTCTGAGCTTGCTAGGTTTTTCCGTCAGAATACAGAGACCCACACATCTCAGCTCAGCTCTGAATATCTAACGTGTACTGCATGAGTACATTACAGTCTTTGAGAAGGTTTACTTTCTGTTCATTGCACGCAAAAAAAAAAAGGAATCTTTCGCACCAGGGCATTGTAATGAATGAAGCAACCTAAGAAGAAAATTGAACTCCTTGAGGGAAAATAAGGCAGTGCAGGGGCCGTTTTACTGTCTGCTCATATTAAGCCAATAAGCAAATTCTCTTTGTGTATAGACAGAGTTGCAGCGTGGGCTGGTGAGCAGAAGCATGCATGCACCAGATGGCAAACTGCAATGATGGAGCAGAGCTGTTAGGAATGACAACAGTGAAGACTGAGGTACATTGAGATTAAGTGTCCAGAGCCACAATGAATCCTCAATCAGAGGACGTTTCTGTCCCGTTATTTACTTTGTAGCTCACACGAGAAATTCAACTCCTTGTCTGATATCCTCCATCAGAAATCAGGGAACAGAATTTCCCCAGGGAGGGATGCATTCCTTCTTCCAGTGCGTGGTAAGTGTTTTTGTTAGTTTTTAAACTGACATCTTAACTTCAGCAAACGATTCCTCTGTCTCTGTCACTAACATTTAGATGTGGAGACAGTATGAATTATACCTGGTTTAAACAGAATATGCAGTGTCCCAGCATGAGAATATTCTTACCTCTTTTCCTTGAATTTTTCTTTACATGTTGCTTTTCCCCTAAATATTGATACATATGGTTGTGTGTTGCTAGGGACTGTTTTTTTTTTTTTTTTCGAATTTTTCTTTACATGTTGCTTTTCCCCTAAGTATTGATACATACGGTTGTGTGTTGCTAGGGACTGGTTTTTTTTTTTTTCGATGATGTCACTTTTTCCATATTAGTGTCTCCTTTGGGGATTATTTAAAATGACGGTGTATTTGCATTTTTCTCTCGTCTCGAATGCTTTGTTCCTTTAAGTCAGCCTTGTCCCAGACAAGCATCAATGCAAAGATGGGAGAGCTGTCTCCATCGTGGGGTCAGATCAAGCATCCTAGCATGAAGTGCTTGCTGGTTTACATACAGTAATTTTTAGGTTGTATTATCCAAACAGCCACGTGTGGATGTTTGGCTTTTAATTACTTAAAGCACAGTAAAGTAAAATATGCATCCCTTCTGTTGAGTGGCTATAGGTCAGCTACTCAATAGTTACATACGCTGGTGTGTACTGTTGGAACAGCACAGACAGAAAACATGGCGGCCATTGCAGAAAGTCCTGCAGGGCAGCACTGGCGTGATAAAGCCTTTGGATTCTACTTTTGGAGAGTGAGTGCTGGGTCATCAGAAACCCCAATGTTTGGAGGTACATGAATCTGCTCCAGTGGTTCAGCAAATATTCACTCAAAGTCTCCATAGTGTTGAAGGCAGTGTCTATATGACACCCAAAGAGTTAAAACAATTTTTAACACATTTTTCAGGCTAGCTACGAGGCAAAGGCTCTATTTGATTTCTTTTTCCCCGTCCTGTTTATCCTGGCTTTATGTAGACACCCAAATAGTAAGAGCAAAAACTCAAAAGAACTTTTTTAAGGAAAGACACCAAATGCATTCCAAATGGAATCATTGCTGTGATTGAAATAGATAATACAGTGTTTGGATTTTAGAGTTAGCAAGAGGAGGCCTCTACCCAGGCAGCCTTATTTGAGCATCAGTTGCTCCTGCCTTTGTAGACAACACAGCAAGCAATAACACAGTTCTCAGCACATGGAACTGAGAACGTCTCCCACCAATCATCACCGAATTTCGTCTGTATAAGTTGTGTTACCAAGTGAAGAAGCCAAGAGAGTAACTCCTGCACTGGAATTTGGACCCAGTGACAGCAGGGGAACAAAGTTAGAACAAGCATGGGTTGAGGAATCAGACCTGGGTTGCAGCCCAACGTCTACAGCTACTAGACATGCGACTTTCGTAATCTCACTAACTTTCGGGAAAACTGGAAAAGTCATACCTGCTCTGCAGACTTTGGAAGGAATAAGAGAGATTTCCCATGTTAAGCTTTCTGTATAAGGCCTACTTCCAAGGGTACCTAAAGCCAGTAATAGTATTTGTGGGTTTTGTTTTGGTCATACCCTAGGAGGCCTCAATGAGGTCATGGACTAAATTATTTAAAGTCACAACCATTAAAAATGTTGTTTGAGAGTTATTCCTTCTTAAGTGGCATACTATTGAATTCATTGTGCAAATTTCAAACGTCCAGTCTGGACATTTTTGTGCAATATATAATACAGACTTCCAGTCATACTCTCTGCTTGTTGCTTTGAGGCAATATGTCATTGAACATGCGTGTGTGTGTGTGTGTGTGTGAGTGTGAGTGTGTATGAATGTAAATATAAGGCTGCTAGTGAAGTCGTGGAGTATCTGTAAAATAAGAATTGCATGAAACAAATCTTAACAAGAGGTTCTACAGTAACGTTACGGAAGGTAGATACACAGGTATATTTATAAATATAGCTGTAGGTATGAATAGATGTACCTATATTCTTTAAAATATGACTCTTGAAAATTCATTTTACCTATGTCATAGTTTTTAGTAGAAAATTGTTCTTTCATATCCACTGAACCAATCACACTAACATTTATTAAGAAAACCTTTGCATCTTTGGGCATGGAAGAAAAGTAAGGTTGAATGGATATATTATTTGGTAATACACATGATTTTATGACGTAGATGTCATCATCTCCATTTTATGTATAATGATGCAGAGTTTTAGAAAAGCTCAGCAATTCCCAAAGCCCATAAGTGAGTTGACTTGGATTTGAACCCAGGTCTGTTTCAACCCAAAGCCTCTTCCTACATCACAATGAAAGCCAGATCATCCCCCACTTCTCCATTGACTCGTTCTGGAGATACCATAGAGCTTATAAATTCCTTCTGTTTCTCCCTTTTCTCAGGGTGACCCTTTTCCTTCAACATTATCCCCGAATTGCTTCCATTGAAAATTCAAAGTGAAGCCCACTATGTTGTCAATTAATCTTGTCACCTTGTCCACAGTTTTCAAGGTGATTCTCAATATTCAGCCAGCTAACTATAAAAGGAGATGGGTCACTTGCATGGATCTTCGCACAGTATTTGTTGACACCAGACCCATTCGTCTCTTACTGGACAAAAAAAATTCTCTCAGAATATTTAAAACATGGCCTTCTTTGTGCTTGGCATTCAGACTTGCCCATGACTGAAAACTAATTTTTGGGGAATTAATGGACACCCTAAAAACCCTTCTATTTTAAAAACAGGAAGTATCATGAACACTTGAATATGTCTCATTCTTTATGACACTGGTCAAAATATCCCTAGATGACAAATCCTAAAACTGGTATCTCTAATCTGAAATTCATTGTTAAGGTCATAGTATTAGAAAAATAACTGGTTGGGCTTCTAAGCCTTTAGCTTCTGAGCTGATTTTGTGTTATTTACAGAGAGAGGTGTGGGAATGCTTATTTTACTTGAAATCATTTGCAAGTATAATTAAAAGCTACTAAGATATTGCAGATATGCCAAGTAGCATTTCCAATCTGAAATTTTTCCTTAATTCCATTGCTAAGATTTTGTCTTTCACGGAAAAGACTCTGTGGCGGGATAGACAGTCTTTTCATGTGGTGATGCCACTAGCACGGGCCATCGAGGGCTGTGTCCTTGGACAAAAGCTTGAAAACTTCATTCTTGTCTCTAGAAGACTTGTGCAGAAAAAGAACTTTGTCCACATTCATGTGCCAGTGGAAACAAGGTAGGCTTTCAAAACGTTTAAGTATTCCAACTTCCCTCCTACAGATGCTGTCTATTAGATAGGGAGGCTTCCCTGCCAGGAAGCTGTTTCCCAAACAGGAAGTTGTTTCTCAGCACAAAGAATGTAACCATGGTGGCTCACACCCTGACTGGTGTGTTTACTTCAGTGGAAGTGTTTGGTCATCAAAGGACAGGAAGCAGGGGTGAGCCTGAGGCATGGTAGTTACGGTGCTGGACTCCCACTTGACTGACTGTGGTTCAAGTCCCAGATCAAGCAACTTGCTTTCTCACTTTCCCTTTCTCTCTCTGTCTCTCACAGGTCAAAATAAAAAATAATAAATAAAATAAAAATAATTCTTTAAAAAAAAAAGGCAGGAAGCAAAAGCAGGGGGTGGCTTCATATTCCTGAATAAGAGCCTCTAAAAGTGTTCCCCCCAACAAGGGGCAGAAAAAAAGTGGTAGCAAAGATGAGTTAAACTCACAGGAGACCAGCATCATCAAGAAACGCCATTTATACGGCAGGGACCTCCCCACCATTCCTGCGCACGCCCCACTGGTTTAGAGCTTTCCGATGACGGATGGGAAAGTGAAAGGAAAGGAGAGTTACTTACTGTTTGGGTCTACGTTTTCACAGAGTTCTGTCTTCGCCTCCCCGTTGGGTCTGTCACTGGGTTTGTGTGACAGCCGCGATGACATGGTGGCTGCCGTGACTACCGCCTTGAAGCTGCGCTTCCGTTTCTGGACATTGAGCTCAGGGTGGAAAATGATGATGTACACTTTCGGCATGTATAGCATCCCCAGCGCCACTGACGCACTTAGGTTCATGGAGATTGTAAGCGTGGTGGTTTGAATGTAGAGCTACGAGACACAACACACAAGGCACTATTACAAATAAAACGACCGCAGCGGGGGTCCGAACACTTAGCACGATGCCAAGAACGATTACAGCCAGGAGAGAAAGCAGAGCAACCTCCAGAGCCGATTAAAAAAAGGCAGACAGAATGACTGCACATTTATTGCAGAGTTTATGCATCTCTTAATTGATCGAATGTCACTAGGTGAATCCTTGTACATGTTTGCCCTTGAGAAGTCTCCAAGGTGGACGTTCAGGGTAGACCTTTAGTCAGAGCTGAAGTACTTTCCATCACATTAGCAGCTGAATATAAAGACATTAAGATCACAGAAGTTGGTAATCATGTAAGACATGGTTATTTTTTAATCCCCCACATATACTTAAAATGGTTACCACTGGGGCCAGCAGGTGGGGCAGTAGTTAAGGTGCTGGAGTCCCACATGGTTGACTGCTATTCACGTCCTGGACTCAGCAGCTTAACACATGCTGGGCACATGCGTGCGCATGCCCAAAATCCCAAGAGGAAAATGGAGGAGAGGCATTGTGGTGTGATCATGCCCCTGGAGCACGGGGGTGATTTCTCACTTTCTGTCTCTGTCTCTCCAGCAAGTGCACACACCCTATAACAAAAATCTCTCAAGAAAATAATAAATGGGGCCGCCAGGTGGCATGGTGGTTAAAGGCACTGGACTTGGACATGGCTGACCATGGTTCAAGTCTTGGACCTAGTAGCTTGCTTTCTCTCTCTCTCACACTCTCTCTCTCACTCTATCCCTCTCTGATCAAATAGAAACAAATATTCAAGTGGGTAAAGTTAAAGAATGATTGAAATAAATAAAATGACCACTTCATCACTACATGATTTCTGATTACAAAGAGATTCTGGGACCTTATTTGAAAAAGGGTTTATATTAATACATGTTTCTTTTTGTGTTGTTCTTTGGAAAAGATACTGCTTGCTCATACATACAGAACAGTGAGTTGAATTGCCCTGAAAAGACCATCTTGCTTAATTATTTCTTATAAAACACAAATGACAAGGGCCACGGTCTAGGGGTGTGGACTCGAGCACTGCCTTTACCTTGACAAACCCATAGTAGGACGCAAAGCCTCCCTCAGACACTGTCACTTGTGGTCTGGATGGTGCCTGCCCAGCCGTCCATGTCTCTGCTTCCTCAAGAAACCCATAGATTAACCACTTGCTGCTGTCCAACATGTTAACTCATGGGTTGGCTGTAATTCGGAAATGGAGAGGGGTGAAGGGTGTGGAGAGTTGTATGGTCCTTAGGGGCAAGTTATAGACACCAGGCCGCAATCTGGTTGTGCTTTGGATGTGTTTGTGTGTCCATGTACGTCCGTGTCCTACATGACTTCTAAAGGCTGATTACATTGAACAACTCATTACCATCCTCTCTTATGTTAGTGGAGGGCCTAGTTTCTTGACAAGGTATGGGGCCGTGGTAGTCTACACCTACGCCTTTTCAATGATAACAGGATAGAAACCCTCAACCTTAATAGAGTCCATAAGGTTGCACATGGTCTATGCTCGCCTACTTTGTCAGATTTATTTTCTACCATTTTGTACCCCCCCCCCACCAGCTCCCTGCCAATCCACCTCCCCAGGGCTCTGTCTACATGGGCTGAGCCCTCGTATCTCCACTGTACTGTGCTCATTCAACCACAGAACATTTAGACACACCATTTTCCCTGTTCTTGTTTTCCTTCATGCAGAATGTTCCTCCCTTGCTTCTTAGAACATCCATCCCAATTGCCTTCCCCAATAGCCTTAAGTCTGGACCTGCTTCTTATATGCTCTTGAATAACAATTTTCCTTATTTTTTGGGATTCCATATTTTGTGATAATTTTGACTACCCTGATAATTTGATGGCCCAACTCCCTGAGTAGATCTTAAATTCCACGAGGGCAGGACCTCTCTGTGTGGCATTGTTGTGTCTGCAGTAGAGGCGAATGGTAGGCACTCGATAAATACTTGACGGGGAGGCTCATCTGTATAATGGATGCCTTTATTCCATCCTGTGACTCAGTGGTCAGAAACCTTTCTTGAAATAGACAAGAATTTGCATCCGATCTGTTGACGTTTCCTGGATATTTCTGATTATCATTACTCAAAATTAAAATGAAATCAAGAGACTTTGGCATCTTGTCTGGAAGCAATACAGTCTTCTAGCAAACAGTCATTTGAATTTGTACGATGCTGAATGGTTAAAAGCAGCTGCCAGCTGCTGACGCTAGCATAGTACACAGTGAATGTAAAGTAGAAAGACAAAACAGTATTGAATTAATGATCCTCTTGGTTGTGAATGATACCATATTTTTAAAGCTCATCATTTCCTACTAGAATACCTTTAGACTCACAGTCACACAGCTGAAGAAAAGCTTACTGTGGCCACAGAGCTTTATGAACCTAGACAACGTGACTTCCTTTCCTAAGGGTCACTGATACCATCCTGTCACTGAGGGCTTTGCAAGCTATGGTTCAGCCAGTGTGAGAAAGGAAGAGAGATACACTAATCCACGGGGCCTTAGGCTTTGTTTGTTTCTCTGCTCAGGAGCCAATCTTGCAGTTTAAGCAATCATTGATGGTCTGGTTTTGACTTATTATTTATGTAGACTGATAACATACATGTTTTTATGCTTATATATATTTGCATATATGTGTATACATACATACTTTTTCTTTAAAAAGACTATTCAGTGATTTAAGACTCTAAAATTCTAATGTTTATTTTATGAAGGGTTTAATTTCATTATTTTCAAGCTAGAGACCCTCAAGACTCAGTGTTTTGTTTTGACAATGTCTCTGGTGACACTTCAAAGTATGTGAAAAACCAAGATAAATGTCACGGACCAAATTTTCATGTACTCTCTCTACACAAATCCTCTCTATCTAGCATAGTAGTTATGAAGGAGGAGCACAGATTTAATGCATCTGAGTACAATCACACTTACTAGTTTTCTTTGAGAGATTTTTTTGCTATAGGACGCATGCGCTCACCAGACAGAGAAAGGCATTAGAGACAGAAAGCGAGAAATCACCCCCCGGGGGGATGGTCATGCCGCAATCCCTTCTCCTCCATTCTCCTCTTGGGATCTTGGGCACGCATGCACATGTGTCCGGCGTGAGTTTTAAGCCACCGGGTTTGGGACGCGAACCGCGGACGACTACGTGGGAGTCCAGTGACATAGCCATTACGCTAACTGCTGGTTCCCACACTTACTAGTTTTGTGAAAAGAATGGAAAAATAACTATTAAAAATGTGGACAACATAAGGGGAATTCTTCACACTATTAAACATCCAAATAGCCACCTAATGGGTATTCCAGAAGGTTGGAGAAAGAGGTAAAAACTTACGAACACTCTGAAACTTTCCAAATCTAGAGAAATACATGGATAGCCAGATCTGGTAGATACAAAGGACACCACATAGATGCAAAATAGTCATCTCCAAGGCATACCATAACCAAATTGGTGAAAATCAAAGAAGTCTTCTCCAAGTGCCAATACTAACCTCGGACTTCTCAATAGAAACAAAGCAGGCAAGTCAAGAATGGGAAGACAAAATCCTGAAAGAAAAGCTACTGATATTTCAGCGAAGAATACTTTATTCAATACTACCCCAAGAAGATGTTCCTTCAAATGGAAAGGAGAAGTACAATCATTCTCAGATGAAAAACTGAAAGAATTCATGGACACAAGACCAGCTCTTCAGAAAATACTATGCCAGGAACACAAAAGAGAGATAAACAGAGACCACAAAACAACTAAAGTGACAGGGATAAATCCAAACACATCAATAATAATGTTGACTACTGGGACCAGCAGATGGTATAATGGTTACATCACTGGACTTCCTCACGGCTGACCACAGTTTGAGTCCCAGACCTGTGCCTTGAAACTCACACTAGGTGTGTAGGTGTGTATGACCAAAATCCTAAGAGCAGCATGGAGGAGAGGGGATTGTGGTGTGGCCATCCCCTCACGGGGTGATTTCTCACTTTCTGTCTCTCTGTCTCTTTGGCAAGTGCACATGCTCAATAGCAAGTAAATAAATAAATAAATAAATACATAACTCTCAAAACAAACGAAGAAACCAACCAACAAATAAAATATAGCAGACTGACTACAACACACTAATTGTTGGAGAGTTCAGCAATCCCATCACCACTGGATAGGTCATCCAGATGAACAACAATGATGACAAAAAAACCTGAGATAAATGAAGTAGAGAATACAAAACAAGCTTGTTTATTGTGAGGATAGACAAAATAGACAAAACATTATCTACACTAATCAAAGAAATACCTGGTACTACTATTACAGGCATATCAAGAATGAAGAAACCAACCAACAAATAAAATATAGCAGACTGACTACAACACACTAATTGTTGGAGAGTTCAGCAATCCCATCACCACTGGATAGGTCATCCAGATGAACAACAATGATGACAAAAAAACCTGAGATAAATGAAGTAGAGAATACAAAACAAGCTTGTTTATTGTGAGGATAGACAAAAGAGACAAAACATTATCTACACTAATCAAAGAAATATCATCTGGTACTACTATTACAGGCATATCAAGAATACAACTGAGAATATGAGTGACTGTATGCCAACTAGGCAACCTGGATGAGCTGGACAAGTTTCTGGATACTTGCAAGCAGTGAAGACTGAATCAGTAATAGTCTCCAAGGAAAAGCTTCAATTTTTTTTTTTTTTTATTTGACATGAGAGAGAGTGTGAGGGAAAATGAGAAAGTAAGCCACCATGTCTGGACTCGAACTATGGTCGACCATGTGGGAGTCTAGTGCCCTTAAACACCATGCCACCTGCCAGCTCTCACCCTTGGCTTCCCTTCTGAACTCTAGGAGACCGTTAAAGAATTCTTCTTCTCAAACTATTTCTAACAATCACAAAGGAAGGAACCTTTCCACATTCATTCTATAAAGGTTCCATTATCTTGATCCCAAAAGCAGACAAG